TCTACATGGTTTAATTATTAATTTTTATTTCAGTTTAGTTATGTCAGTTAGGATTTTATTAGGGGTCCACATTATGGATTCCCGAGTTGTAGTTTAATTAACTATTGGTATCAGAGGATTGAAGGATTCTATAGTATTTATTTGAGGATTTTTAAAATAGGGATTTATTATTTAGTTTCCTTCAGCTTATTATTTATTTATTTATTTATTATTCTTTTTTTGTATTTAAATGCTTATTTAAATATTAATTGTTTGATATCCCTTATATTCTGTGCTCGGACTTGATCACCCGTGGCCCTAGAATCGAGGGGTATCATACCAACAGACCACCACCATCTACCCTCAGACCCTTCTAATCAGCCCATCTTGAAGGAATCTAATCACTCTTCACAAAACCCAGAAGATCCTAAGCCCAATAAGCAAGGTATAACTTCTTTCCCTAATACAACTACTATTTTGTCGTCTCCTAAAGATGAAATACTTAGCCACCGATCTTGGAAGAGAAAGGCTAGAAAGCAAACGCAATACAGTTTGGTTGACCCTGATCAGTCTACTCGAAAAGGGAGCATTGAAAGTTAAGATATCTTACCTTCGACAACTCCAAAACGTCCCAAAGCGAATGACTCACCTCCTTGTTTCAGGACTTTTGATGTTATGCTTTCCTCTCCCATTTATCCAATCCGGTGGTGGTAGCCAGCTTCGAATGAGCCCCCCCCCCCCCCCCCCCCAACAAATGAAGGTCCTGGTGTAGAATTGTCAGGGTTTGGGGAACCCCCTGACAGTTTCCCAGTTGAGGAGGCTCGTTAGCCTTCATTCCCCTCCTTTAATTTTTATAACATATACCAAAAATGACAAAGATCGTGTTGACCACCTCCGTGTTTTGTTAGGTTCGTATGAAGTGTTTGAAGTTCCGTTAGTAGGTCGGTCTGGGGGCTTGGATCTTCTTTTTTCGAAGGAGTGGCAGATTTCCATCATCGATTTTTCTGAATTTCAAATTACTTGTAAAGTGATTGGTGGGAAAGGGGATCGTCCCTGATTTTTTTTAGGAATTTACGGTTCATGTACGGAAAAGGAACGGGCTTTCCAATGGAGATATCTTCATAGTCTAATATATCAATTAGGCCCTCAATGGATTTTGATGGGCGATTTTAACACAGTGCTCTGTAAAGATGAAAAAAAGTGGTGGCCGTATCAAGCAAGGGTGGATGCTAAAGGAGTTTAAATTTTTCTTTAAAGACTGTAATTTGATGGACCTTCGTTTCAAAGGCTTCCCGTTCACTTGGTGTAACAAAAGGGACTCATCAGGTAAACTCATTCTTGCTCCCCTTGATAGAGCTATGTGTTCTAGTGCTTGGTTTAATTTGTTCCCTCGATGCATGCTTCATCATATTTCAATCCAGGGGTCGGATCATGATGCTTTAATGTTATGCCTCAATGACTCCATCTCTCATTCTAAAAGGAAATTTTATTTTGATGCTCGTTGGGTCAAAGATGAGGGTTTCAAGCCTGTTATTGAAAAAGGGTGGGACGTTTCCTTTCCAGGCCCTCCTCTTCAAGGTATTTAGAAAAAATTATTTCAGTGCAAAATGGACCTCAAATATTGGAGGCGTGGCAAACGTAACAATTCGTAAGTCAAAATTCGGGAGCTTGAACAATAGTTAAAGCTTATCAAGGAGCAAGAAACTGAGTTTGACAAGGCTCAATTTTTTAAGTTAGAATAAGAATTGGGTAATGCCTGGAGGGAGGAAGAACTGTTCTGGATGCAAAAGTCCAGGATTGCAAAGTTGAATCATGGGGATAAAAATATGAAATTTTTCCACAAGAAAGCAAAAATTCGTAAGCGAAAGAATGAGATTATTGGAATTGAAGATCACAATGGTCAGTGACAATATTCTAAGGAAGATATCCGTCGGGTGGCCGAAGATTATTTTCAAAACCTTTTTCATGGCTATCCCAGCCCATGATGATTTTTTATTTTGGGAGCTGGTCCAGCCTAAGGTGTCTCTGGATATGAATCACGAGCTTATGCGTGAGGGGACCGAAGAGGAACTCTTCTCAGCTCTAGCTAGCATGGGGCCCTATAAGTCTCCTGGACTGAATGGCTTCACCCAGCTTTTTTTCCACTCCAACTGGGAGATTCTCAAGGCTGATCTTGTTAAAGCTTTTAACTCTTTTCTTCAAGGTAATCCTCTTCCAGCCGACCTCAACTCTACTCTTCTGGTTTTTATCCCCAAAGTTCCCCATCCCACTTCAATGAAAAATTTTCACCCAATTGCGTTGTGTAATGTGTCTTATAAGATTTTCTCCAAAGCTTTAGCAAATAGACGTACTTAAGCCTCTTCTCCCTTGCCTTATTAGTGATGCGCAGAGTGCCTTCGTGCCCCACTGTCTGATTTATGATAATATTATTTTAGCCCATGACATGTTGCATATCTTGGAGTTTAAAAAATATGGCGACTCCTATTTAATAGCCCTAAAACTTGATATGGCAAAGGCATATGACCGAGTCAACTGGTCGTTTCTTCACAAATTTATGCTTCAGTTGGGATTTGATTAAAGATGGGTGTGCATGATGATGGAATGCGTTAGTACTGCCTCATACCCTGTGTTGATTAATGGGGGAAAAGGCACCTATTGTTCTCCTTTTCGAGGTCTCCGTCAAGGTGATCCCCTCTCCCCTTTTCTCTTCCTTTTTTGTACTGAAGGCTTGTCCTTACTGTTCCACGAAAGTGCTAGAAGAAACCGTCTCAAGGGTCTCAAAATAGGTAATGGCCGCCCTTCCATCTCTTACTTACTTTTCGTAGATGATGCTCTCATCTTTTATAAAGCTGCGGAGCCTGAAGTGCAGTGTATCAAATCCCCCATGGACTAATATGAAGCCTTAACTTGTCAGTTTGTCAACCTTGATAAATCATGTATGTATTTCTCTCCTAATTCTCCATATTAGCTTAAAGCCTGGTGCAAACAGTTTTTGGGCTTCTATAATGTTGATTGGTGTAATAATTATTTGGGTTTGCCATCCCTTATGGGAAGATCTAAGACTGCGGCTCTTAATTTTATATCGGAGAGGGTTTCCTCAAAAACTAAACTTCTCAAAGGCACTTTGCTATCCAAGGCGGGCAGAGAACTGTGACAGCCCTAGTTTTTCAAGCCAGTGCCGTCACAGTTGGTATCATACTTGAAAAACCAGGGCCGTCACAAGAAGTAATGGTGAAAGCAATCTTGTCTGCAATTCCAACCTTTCTTATGCACTGTTTCAAACTTTCCAAACACAACTGCCAAAGATTGACTAGTAATCTTCTTAACTTTTGGTGGAGCGGCAAAGAAAATCCAACAAAATCAAATGGATCAGTTGGGACAATCTTTGCAAATCTAAGGTGGAGGGCGGACTTGGCTTCAAGAACGTGGAGGCTTTCAACCTTGTTCTCCTTGCCAAGCTTGCATGGATGATGGAGATTGTTGATGACTCCTTGCTTTTAAAATCTTTTAAATCAAAATATTTCAAAAATTGCAATTTTGTTGACACTCCACACAAGTCCAGTGCTTCTTTAGTTTATAAAAGTATCCTGGCGGCCGAAGCGGTTATTAAGAAAGGCATGAAATGGCGTATTGGCAACAGGTCCTCGGTTAACTGCTAGAAAGATAACTGGCTTCCTAACGTCTCAAATTTTTCCACTACCTCTTCCTCTACTAGAGCCAATTTCTTTTCAGTTGCTAATCTGATTATCTATGGCCGGTTCTTGGTTAAAAATACCTACCATGTGGTTTAATCTATCATTTTTCCTTCAACCCGTCCTTCTCCAGCAGAAAGTTGTAGTTTTGATGACGCCAAAGGGAGTATGTGGAAGCAGGTGTGGTCTATTCGTACACATAAAAATATTCATTTATTCTTGTGGCAAAGTCTCCATGAATGCATTCCTGTGAATCATCTTCTCTTTTTACAAGGAGTGATTGAGTTTTCTTCTTGTCCGGTTTGTGAGGATGCGGTTGAGACTCTTGATCATGTTCTCTACTCCTGCCCCTTTGCTTGTATGGTTTGAAAACTCAGCCTTCTTAGAAGGGACTTTAGTGATCAATTCTCATGCTTTTGGCCTAAGAGGTGGTTTGACCTATGTAACAATCTCTCTAAGTATAATGATTCGAAGGATAGCTTGAGTTTGGCTGCTTTTATTTGTTGGAGAATCTGGAAATGTCATAATGATTTGATTTTTAAACATAAGTGCTAGGATCCATTTGAGGCGGCCCAAATTGCTTTCACTGATTTTCAGGAGTTCATTGAGATTCAGAGACATAATCGTCTATTCTGTATTCCATCTCCTCCCTCTCCTTCTTTTCTGGCAAAAATGACGGCACCAAATATAGGAGCTCTTAAACTGAACTTTGATGTTGCGTTTAACTTTATCTAGAAGTCTTGTGGTGGTGGTTTGATCTTCCGAAACCATCTTAGCCATCCTATTGAGATTGCTTCAGTTTTCCTTGAGAACGTCAATTGTCCAACAATTGTTGAGGGCCTTATTCTTAGGGAATCTCTGCTTTTTTTTAAACACTAGGGGTATAGAGATTTTGTTGTCAAAGGAGATTGCCAATCTGTTATGTCTTTGAAGGCGTCAGTGGAAGGATTAATTGTTATCTTCAATGATGTTATGTCTCTTCTCAAGGCCTGTGTGGCTTCTTCCCTTTCTTGGGTCCCTCGGAAGGGAAATCTTGTAACTCATTTGTTGAGCAAGAAAGCTATTGTAGCCGTACGTGACGATGTTGAGTGGAGCATTTGGCCCAAATGATTGTTAGATGCTCTCCTCCCTAACTGTATTTCTTTTGTTTCTTGATCTATTCTGTTTGTTGGTGTTAAAAAAATAAATAACATTGCCACTATATAGTTTCCCATATTAAATGACTACATATCATTTTTTTTTTTCTTTTTTTTCACATGTCACATACAAGTATTAAAAAATAATAATAATAAAAAAACCATACAAGTATTAAAGTATAAACATAAAACCTACTAACAAAATTGAAAATATATAGAGAGAGTATAATATAAAATTGAGACATCAATCTCTAATCCAAACTTTACAAAAGGGACTTCAAAAGTTTCATTTCAAAATGTTGATTAAACACCTACTTTCTCCAAAACGCCCCTAGACAACCTCCCAATTTCCATATCAATCTCATCAGCCACACTCACTTTCCCCAATCTCTTCAACCCCCTGCTCAAAACCTTAGCCACATACTCGTCAGCCTCACACGTGGACCCCCACCCACTTCTCTTCATCAACCCGTAAATCCTGACCGTCGATTCCGCTCTCCCCGCTGCAATCAACGCCTTGATCAGCCGTAGCAATCCCTTGTCACACGGGATCACACCCTCCCCCTCCAGATCGACGATCAGACGGTCGATATCGTCCGACATCCCATTCCTCGCCAGCGCCGAAACCAAGTCGGCGTACAGGGTCAAGTCGGTGTTGTACCAGGGTTCTGATCGGACGGCCGAGAAGACTTCGAGCGCTACGTGGCACTGGTCCTGCCGTAGGAGCTCGTTGTAGGTGGCGATAAGGTCGGACTTGATCAGGCGGGAGAGGGTCTTGGAGAGGAGGTCGTTGAGCTTTGTCTGATCTCCTCTGTGGGCCCGTTTCAGGGATTGGACGGCTTGGATTGCTTCTATGCTCAACACGCGGCCTCTGAGGAGTGGGCCACGGTTATCCCTTGGACCGCATCGTATCGTAACACAGCTTCTGCTGCTGGTGTTGTTGATTGGTTGGGTCGTCGAAGGGGGGAGAGAGAGAAATGTGAGGTTTGAGCGGGGAGAGGACGCCATGGATGAAGAGGAAAAAGATGAGGAGAGAGAAAATAAGTTACTGTTTATACACACACATAGTGGTGGTTTTTTGAAAAGACTATAATACCCTTTAATATTGCAAAAAAGTGTGAAAAAAATTGCAAAAAGTCCAATTACAAACGTCGACAGCAGGATTCGAACCTGCGCAGGCAAAGCCCAACAGATTTCGAGTCTGTCTCCTTAACCACTCGGACATATCGACGCTATATCATGTTTATCAGAGTTTAAATAATATATAATATTTTTTATAGTTACTACTAAATCACTAACTATTCCATAGAGCGGTCAATAAATTGACAATTGTGGAAGAAAAAAAAAATCTTAAAATTAAGGGAAGAGGTGATAAATGCACTACACTCCAAAATTAACCTATAATGATATAATTTTCTTTTCATTTAATTCACGATAATGAAGTATATGGAACATTTTAGTTGTTTAGTTGAAGGAAGAAAAAAAAAAAAATGGAGCGCATTTTTTGCGCTTTTGCATAATTGTGGAATGTGGAAGAAAGGATGGGTATATCGATAACTATCTTACTAAAATCTGGATGTTCTGGACTATGGAGTATGTTTTCTATTCAAGACTTTAGCATATATATATATATATATATATATATATATTTTACCAATTTATATGGTCTCAATTGGATTTGGGGAGTAAAAACACACCATCCCTTTCTACAAAACTATGGGTAACAGAGATTCATGGTGCATCAAATTCCACCCATGGTTTCAAATTGCACTAGATTTCAACATAAACCACTTGATAACAATACTATTATGGTGCCTCATTGAATGTGACAACTTTTATGTACTACAATTCTACACAATGATGCTGCAACAATAAGGTACTTTTTCATCTAATGAATACATTCCATACCACTTTTCAGCCACAATATAATTAGGTTTTTGTCACCATCTTCAATTCATTAAGGAATAAAACATATCTTTGATTGAAGATATGCAAATTGTTCCAACATGTTTCTTGTTAGTTTTTTGTTTTTTTTTTTAGTTGATTGATTGGTCATATTAGGTGGTTGAACTAACCACACATATATATATGTTTCACCATTCTATCTCAACCTTCCAATCCACACATTGCTCCTTTGGACCTTCCATTTCCTCGTTGAGGGATGAGATAGTCCTTATCAGCGACCTCAAACTTGCAATCATTTTATTGAATGATCATGCTACATAGAGTTTTGTTGCCCAATCCCATCTCAATAATTCATTCTCTCTTGATGAATGGAATAAGCTACAAGGAGAGAGTTCAAACCGTTTAGCTTTTAGGGTTGTTTGGAACACCAAGGCTGAGTAAAAAATATATATTCTTTTTAAGTAAATGAAGAAAAAAAAAAAACGAAAAGAAGTTAAAGTGATCAAAACCTAACTTAGTTAAAACGGGAGTACAAAAGTAACAAAATATAAGTCAATCAGAGGAGAGTGAGATCAGGAGCTCGTGTGGTGCCATGAGAGCAAGGAACTTGTACTTATGTAGAGCGTGAGAGCGGGAGCGTACATGGAACTTGAAAGCTAGCTACACCCATTTAGAAAAAATGTGTGACTTAGACAAGGGCGAATCCAGAAATTGTTAATAAGGGGGGTTAATATTAAAAAAGGGGAAATTAGGGATCGAAAGATTAAAGAGTTAAAAAAATTTAGAGGAAATAGGGTTAAACTTTAGAGGGAGAGAAATAGTGAGCTCTCTTATTTGTGCAAGATTAGAAATTTAGGAGTATCTGTGCTTTGGTTTAGTGATTATTTAGGGTTTGTTTGACTTGGGCCTTTTTAAAATTGTGGCTTAGATATTGGGCTTATTTGGATGGGTTAAAATTGAGGGGCTAATACTACTACTAATTTTTTCTTTTTTAAAACATTGGGCTAAATATACATATACTAAAAAAAAATTTTAGGGGGGGCTTGGATTCGCCACTGGACTTAGATCACCCAGAATTTTCATTTTCATTTTTCTTTTCAAGTATATGAAAATAAATAAATAAATAAATAAAATGAAGAAGAAGAAGTAAATGATCAAAAACTTAAGTCACAATGAGAGGGAGCGAGAACGGGTGTGTAAAAACGAAGAAATCAAAGTCAGACAGAGTGAGAGTGAGAGCGGAAACTCGTACGGAGCGTAAGAGCAAGAGCGAGAGCGAGAGCGTACGCCGAGAGTGAGAGCTAGCGACACCCATTTAAAAAAAAAAAAAAAAAAAATTGCATGACTTAGATCACTCAGAATTTTTATTTTTATTTTTATTTTTGAATGGAAGTAGTTTGTCAATCACTGTGATTTGGATATTAGATACAAGTGATTGTGATGTCTAAAAGGAAGAGCAACAGAAGGAGCAGTGACAATATAGATTTTGAATCGAGTGAAACAATTCTTTGAATGTCTTGAAGCAAAATGGCTTTCCTAAAAATAAATAAATAAAAAAGGGCTTTCGATGGTTTTTGGGTGAAAATTGTGTACTAGTAAGTAGTAACTTCAACCTATATTGAGCAACCAATAAGAAAGATTTTGAATTGTTTTAGGAATTTCAGTGTGGGAGCAATAGCAAATTTTTATAGGTACATATATCAACAAAAAAAAAAAAAATAGAGAGAGAGAGAGAGAGAGAGAGAGAGAGGGGGGGGGATATAATGGTAATAAAAAAAATAATTGTGCATTACTTGCTTTTTGGCCACTGCAAAACACGTACCGCATGGCCACGACGCAAGCGGAAAATAACTAAGCAAACAAACTGCACTTGTGGTACGAATATGAAAAATTTAGATTTTGGTTTAATACGGAGGGAACTCCCTTTTAGCTTTTTAATGCTTATATATAAAAAATCGCTTTTACTTTTTAGTTATACATGTTATTTCAGGTTATGTCAAATCTTATATTGATAAACATTTTGGTTTTAATTTTTAATTACATTTAAATTATTTTTTGAATTTTTACACACACAAATTGACCTATATATATATTTTTTAGTTGGTACTTACACACACTTATTTCTTCTAAGACTTGAAATTTGAACTCCTGACCTCTCTTTGGGAGGTAAGAAACTAATATTACTAAACCACTGTCCATTAATTTTTAATACAAAATATCTATAAATTTAAATGATAAAAATATATACTCTTTTAATTAATATACAAAACCCCCATATGCCAAATCTCTCTCTCTCTCTCTCTCTCTCTTTTCAGTGTTCTGGATTTTGGAGATTCTTGCACCCATACAGTACTAGAACCTCTATCACCATTACCATACGCTACCTCCCCCACCCAAAACCTCTATCACCACCACACCCACCCAAAATCTTCATCACTTCCACCCATTACCCAAAACCACCTACCACCCATCACCCCCACCCCCACGTCCACCTAAAATCTATTGTGAAAATTCTACATCTTTTATAGATAATACAAATAACAATACATCAACTTTATTCATAACACAATGAATTAAAAACAAGGAACAATTCCGTTGATAGAAAAATGAAATAACATACTTTCATTAAATTTGAACAATATGATATAACAATGAACATGAATTTAAAAAAATAAATAATTTAACAATATGATAGTAATATTAACTCAATAATATAATAATAAAGCTAAAAATAGATAAAAACATAAGTAATAAAATACATAACAAGAATTAATCAATAGATAAAATAAAGATTAAGAAAGGGCTGGCCTAATTGTTGAGGCATGTGTAAATACATTGACTTAAAGTTGATAGTTCTCCCCTCCATGCGAGTATTGGCGAAACTAGTTAGCCTCCAAAATACAACCTAATCAGCTCACAACCAAGGGCGAATCCAGGATTTTGAATGGGATGGGCTAATTTTAGATTTTAACCAAGGGCGGATCTAGGATTTTGAATGGGGTAGGCTAATTTTAGATTTTGAGGTGAGCTAATATTACCTTTTTTATTTTTTATTTATTTATTTTTTGGGCGAGACTAAAAGTAGTATAGTAATTTTTTTTTTTTTAGGGGTGGGCGAAGGTGCCGCCCTTACTCACAGCGGTGTTTCTTCCATGTGCACGACCACATAAAGATTAGGTCTAAGTCTATGTATGTCTTATTGCTTATAAACTCAATATTCAAATAACTCTCAATGAAAAGATAGAATAATGTCATGAAGTGATTCCTAAGACGCTTGGAGGATGGAAGACACGCATGCTGGTTGGCAAAGAGCAGAGTTTGACTGGGAATGGTTCAAGGGAAGGGGCATGCAGGAGCACAGGTGTGATACCCCTCGATTCTAGAACCACGGGTGATCAATTCTGAGCACAGATCCGAAGGATATCAAACAATTAATATTTAATCGAACACAGAATACAAAATGAATTTAAGAAATAATAATAAGCTGAAGGAATACTAAATTAAAAATCCTCAAATATAAATATTTAAACTCTGACAATCCAAACTTCATAAGTTTACAACTCGGGAATCCATCTCCAGTGGACCCCTAATAAAAATCCAAACCGAGCGAAAATAAATAACTGAAGATAAAAACCCAAATCGAATATCAGGAAAGAAGTCCTACATCGTCGGTAGAATGAAAGATCGTCTCTGCTCAGCTCGAACAAGCTCTAAGACCTCAACCATCCAATACCTGAAAAATAATAAATGGGTCAGGCTCACTAGCAAGTTTTATACTACTACTACCCAAGCAGAGACCCGATACGCATGTGCATCCTAACTAATCCAACAATAACTAAATAGTCCGTAGATACGTATATATATAATCACACTACAAGACTCTCACTGGACTACAGGCCTGTCTCAACCTGACTAGTAGGCACCATGCAAAACGCACCTGAGGTGGGCATGACTACCTAGATCTAACAGGGTACCCACCCAACTATCATAGCCAGTTATGCATCCCAATGCATATATGCTCCCTAGCCAACGACTCTGAGACTCAGGCTCATATCGTGGCACCATAAAAATATATTTAAAATCCGTTCCAAACTAAAAGTGTCACTCAACTGTTTAGTGATTTGACACAAAATACAGGTAGGACT